GGTGACATGGTGAGCCCTTTTCCATCAGTGAAATGCATCTGGGCAGACTGTTGGGGTTCAACCTCCTGATGGGTCCGGTGAAACTCTGAAGAAACATTCTGGCACAGTAATGCCTTTTCTGTGGAGTTGTGTATAGCAAACATGACAACACACACCCACAGATGCCCACACCCACCCACACCTACCCACACACACCCACACACACCCACACACACCCACACCCACACCCACCCACACACACCCACACACACCCCCACACACCCACACACACAGAAGTTCAACAAAACAGTTTGGCACAGTCACACTTTTTGGGCGGAGTTTTGTATAGCAAACATGACATCAGATAACACTGCCTTGCTAAGCTCTCCACTCAGGTGGACCGATGCAGCTAAGGTAGGGACTGTACATGCGGTCATGCCGCTGGGTATCCATGGCTAAGTGGGTGTGTAGAGTAGGTCTTATGGCTGTAACAGATTAGTTTCTCAGACTTACTGCCGTTCTTGTCAGGGGTTTGGACCAACAGTCTGCTCGGATTGCAAGGTTGGTGTGAGTAAAGTTGGCCACTTTTCTCAGGGGCATCACTAACTCTGGGTGACAAGGTAGGTCCTTATCCATCAGTCTAATGCATCCTGGTCAAACTGTCCGGGTTCAACGTCCTGATGAGTCGGTGAAAGTCCGACAAAACAGCCGTGCACAGTCATGCTTTTTTTTTTTTTTTTGTGGAGTTGTGTATAGCGAACATGACAACACGCTCACAAGCACACTGAAGTCATAGCCCATGCATGTTTTTCTTTTGTGGTAGTTGTCTATCTGTTGTCGGTTCAGCTTCCTGCCGTGTTTGTGTTAGTGCTGAGGAGTATCTTAAGTATAAGTTGTACTGTTTGATAATTTAATGGTCGGTGCTTGTTTGTATGAAGTAAGTACCTGCAACACTATTAGGGGGGGCGGTGTGACATTCGGGATGCCTGTATCTCTGTGCTTTCCGGTGGAGACACATTGTGTCGTGGGTTCCTGGCTCTTGATGGTGGACTGAACCTACAGTCCACTGGGTCGTCCGTATGATGTGAGTAGGTGATGGTCATCTTTGCTCCTTTCAAGTTGCTGCTTCCACGAGTTCACGTGCTATTGTGTGCCCTGCTGTGTTGGTGATCTGTTCATCCGCCCACCTGCCTGCCCGCTTGCCTTCCTATATGCGTTGCCTGTTGCTATCGTGTTGAATGCCTTGCTGTGTTTTTGGGTGCCCGCCCTCCTGCCAGCCTGCCCACCTGCTTGCCTATTGCAGCCTGCCTGCTACGTTGCACTCTACGTTGCCTTGTCCAAGCTGTGCTATGCTTTGCTGTGTTTACCCATTCGCATCAGGGTTTGGAGCTGGTTATGACCGAAAGCATTGTGAGGGGATCCAGCAGCCTGTTGAGGGTTCAGCCTGCTGATGAGTCAGTGCAAGTCCGTCGAGACAGTCTGTCACTATTGCTGTGTTTGTCTGTGATGTATTGTTGTGTGCGTTGTTGTTCGCCCGCAAACTGCGTTTGAAGCATAGATGCTGCTCTTATGGTTTGGCATACTAGCCTTCCAGCCTTCCAGTTTGCAATGTCACAGTGTCTGTTTCACGCATACTAGTTTTTGTTCCTAAGGTGTGCCGATTGGTTTTTGGAGCTCCACTGGTGTCAAGTCTCGTACTATGACACGTGGTCAAAAAGCGTACACACTTTTACACACACATGCACACATTAACAGATCAGCGTGCTTCATTGTCTGCAATAGAGGTAAGGCTTCTCCGATTTTGGATCAACTCATCTAGGTTGAAAAGGGGCTATTAATTTACAACACACACACACACGCACACACACACGCACAAACACACACACACACACACACACACACGCACACACACACACACACACACACACACACACACACACACACACACACTGATGAGTCGGTGAAAG